GCCCGGACGAGCCCGGCAGAGGCTGCGCCTGCGCAGTGCAGGGAAGCTGCTCAGTGTACCACGTGGAAGGGGATGGGGTGGTGCAGGGTTGGACAGGCTGGGGAGGGCTGAGCCATGGGGGAGAGGCAGGGCAGGCGTGGGGCAGCTGTGGCTGGACCAATGGGGCGGGTCAGGGCTGGGTGGGCACTCATGGGGTAGGAGCTGGGTTCATGGGGTCACTGTGGGAGCAGATCAGGGTTGGGGGCAGTCATGGGGGAGGGATTTAATAGTGTAGTCAATTAATGGATGAGCAAACGCACTTCTCGGTAATGCTAGGTAATGCTAGAGACTACAGCGCTTCCCTCCCTGCTGCCATCTGAAAAAGTGGGTCTGGCCCACGAAAGCTCATCATCTTATAAACCATCTTGTTAGTCTTTAAAGTGCTACATAGTCCTGCATTTTGCTTCAGCTACACCAGACTAACACAGCTGCATTCCTATTACTATTCTACCAGACCATTTGTTAGTACATTTTTAAGCATGCTGGCCAGCAGCCCGGCTCAGTCCTGGCTTGCACCAAGTCCAGGCCCTATCCTTACTGGGGCTCTGCATTTGCAGTGTATTAGGAGCCAGGTGGGCAGGCAGCCCGGCTCAGTTCTGGCTAGTGCCTGGCACCCTATGCTGCTGCCTCAGCGGAATGGCTGCCAGCCCCACCCCCAGGGACTATAGACTAGTGGAGTAACCAGTAAGAATTCATGAGGTTAATTAACTTCAATTAACTGATATTTAACATCCCTATCATGGGGTAGGAGGTGGGTTCATGGGATGAGTGTCAGCGGAATGGCTGCCAGCCCCACCCCCAGGGACTATAGACTAGTGGAGTAACCAGTAAGAATTCATGAGGTTAATTAACTTCAATTAACTGATATTTAACATCCCTATCATGGGGTAGGAGGTGGGTTCATGGGATGAGTGTGGGAGCCCTTGGGGCAGGTCAGAGCTGGGGAACAATTGAAGCTGGGTTCATGGGTTAAGTGTGGGAGCCCTGGGTCAGATAGGCCAATGGTACAAGTACCCTTAGGGGTACTTGAGAGAAGTCTGGGGCTGGGGATTGCCCCGCTGGCCAGAAAACTGAATTTTTGTTTACACTTTTACAGTGCTTTATTATTTGTGTACTTTTTACACCCAAACATTTAATCACCTGCCCGGCTATGATTAAGTTGTTTAAACAAATGTGTTGGAACGGTAGAAAAAAAATGTGTGTGTGAAAACAGTAGGTACTGAGGGTACTTATATTTTTTTTAAAAAGGGGTACTTTATAAAAAAAAAGTTGAGAAACACTGAGAGAGGCTATAGGCTTTGTTGGGGCAGGTCAGGGCTGGGGGTCAGTCATGGGGCAGGGGCGGAGTTCATAGGGTCCGTGTGCGAGCCTTGGAGCAGCCTTGGGAGTACAGGGGCTCACAAATTGAGTATGAGTCAACAACCTGGGGAGCTGGGTAAAAGGCTGGTGTGTTAGATGTGGGCAGTTACTGGCTAGCTGTGCTCTGCACTGGGGAGGCCTCATTGAGGGAAGATGAAGGAAAAGTCTGAATTGAATTCAGATAGAGCAACACAAATGACAAAAGCTTTAGCAAACCTGACCTGTGAAGGGATGTTAAAAAATTGCATATGATTAATCCTGAGAAAAGAAAACTGATAACAGTCTGCAGATAGGCTAAGGGCTGTAAGAGGCTGCTGATCAACTATGTGCTCTAGCCAGTGATGGTAGGGCAATAAGTAAAGGGATTAAATTACAGCAAAGGCGATTTAGGTTAGATGTTAGGAGAAGCTTTCTAACCATAAGGATATGTGAGCTGTGGGGAGGTTCCAAGGGATTACATGGGACCCCCCCTCATTGGAGATTTGAAGAACAAGTTGGACAGACACTTGTAGGTGATGCTGTAAGTTCACTTGGTCCTGCCTCAGTTCAGGGGCTGGACTTCCAGTGCTACATTTCTGATTCTGTGCCAGGCTGAAGGTTAGTTAGGTCAGACTAGAGATTGACCATGGATAGGAGCAAAATTAATGGGGGGAAGTAGAGAAGTTACGGAATGAGCAAAATACAGGACTATGTAGCACTTTAAAGACTAACAAGATGGTTAAAGTGCTACATAGTCCTGTATTTTGCTTCAGCTACACCAGACTAACACGGCTACATTTCTATCATTATGGAATGAGGTGTGCTAAACTGGGGACCTGGGCCACTTCAGGGTAGGGATGTGAGTGACTAGTCCGATAAACAAATGCGTATTCGATAGTTGAGTCAACTAGTTGCTCCCCTCCCCCCTTGTTGCCTCTGTTAGAAAGAGACAGCTGGGTGAGGGGCAGAAGGGGAAGAGAAGGGGGTACTTCAAAGCGGCAGTGCCATGTGGAACCTGGGGCCAGGCTGCACACGGCATTTCAAAGCAGCAGTGCTGCATGGAGCCCGGGATCAGCAGGGGAGTCCCAGCTTATCCCATGGGGTAGGAGCTGGGTTCATGGGGTCACTGTGGGAGCAGATCAGGGTTGGGGGCAGTCATGGGGGAGGGATTTAATAGTGTAGTCAATTAATGGATGAGCAAACGCACTTCTCGGTAATGCTAGGTAATGCTAGAGACTACAGCGCTTCCCTCCCTGCTGCCATCTGAAAAAGTGGGTCTGGCCCACGAAAGCTCATCACCTAATAAACCATCTTGTTAGTCTTTAAAGTGCTACATTGTCCTGCATTTTGCTTCAGCTACACCAGACTAACACGGCTGCATTTCTATTACTATTCTACCAGACCATTTGTTAGTACATTTTTAAGCATGCTGGCCAGCAGCCCGGCTCAGTCCTGGCTTTGACCAGGTCCGAGACCTATCCCCACTGCGGCTCTGAATTTAAAGTGTCTTAACGGGCAGGCAGCCCGGCTCAGTTCCGGCTTGAGCAGGATCTGGGAGCTCAGACCCAACCTAGACAGGTGCTGCTGCCCCTTTGCTGCTGCCTCAGCGGAATGGCTGCCAGCCCCACCCCCAGGGACTATAGACTAGTGGAGTATCCAGTAAGAATTCATGAGGTTAATTAACTTCAATTAACTGATATTTAACATCCCTATCATGGGGTAGGAGGTGGGTTCATGGGATGAGTGTGGGAGCCCTTGGGGCAGGTCAGAGCTGGGGAACAATTGAAGCTGGGTTCATGGGTTAAGTGTGGGAGCCCTGGGTCAGATAGGCCAGTGGTACAAGTACCCTTAGGGGTACTTGAGAGAAGTCTGGGGCTGTCAACACAACAAATGTGGAGAAAACTGAATTTTTGTTTACACTTTTACAGTGCTTTATTATTTGTGTACTTTTTACACCCAAACATTTAATCACCTGCCCGGCTATGA